AACATCTTTCACTTTCTTTACGTAGACGCATCGATCTGCTCCACAACTTTTAAAATCGTTCTTCCTGAAGACGAGGTCGATAGTCTTGTTCCAAGCACTTACAGCTTGCTTGAGTCCATATATAGCTTTGTTCAGCTGACACGCAAGTCCTTGAGCTCCCTAATCACCGATCGGATCCTCCATGTAGACACAATCCGACAACACACTGTTGAAAAAGGTGGTGTCGACTTCCAGCTGCTCCATTTTGTAGTCTAGTACCGCATACACTGCGAGTACAACTCGAATTGAGTACATATTGGCCACTGGAGAGTAAGTCTCGAAAAAGTCTACGCCGTATTTCTGCTTCAACCCTTTTGAGCACCATTCGTGATTTGAAGCACAACACAACCACTCTGGTCACGCTATTTAGCAAAGACCCAGCGGCATCCAATCGTACGTCCACTCGCGGAACGAGTGTCCATGTTCTGTTCTGGCGATGCGAGTTTAATTCGGCGTCCATCGCAGGTCGCCATTTTTTTGCTTCGTCGCTTGCCATTGCCTGCGCATACGTGGTAGGCAAGTCCGATTCTTCACCAACACTTACAGCGTAAGCGAGAACAGCTTCAGCTATAAGGCCGTCACCATCAATCCTTGCACGCTTTGGAGATGGTGGTCCTTCGCTTCCTTCCAAACTTTCTTCGGTAACTGATCCGTTCTCCAATAATAACATTGGTTTGCGTGTACGCCTTAAACGTTCCACTTGAGGCTGAAAAACAATCGATCTTCCCGAGCATCCAGTGTAAGAGCTCTGTACCTTGTCAGTTCAAAGTGTACTGAGGCCAATAATCGAAGTACCTCGACCCTTCACCCATTTATGTCAAACTCCTCCTCATTCATTGGAGCGTCTGGAATTTCTTTTTCTTCTTCACACTCCATAGGCTTATCTTGATCTTGTTCGGGTTTTGTCGGCCCGGACACTGCGCTGTCGTCGTTGTTCTTGGTTACGTGTATCAATTTTACTTGTTTGGGCGAGTGAGTCTCATAAATGCCGCCCACTTCACGCTTGTCCAGCTTCACTGACCGTGATACTGATATCTTGTCTTTCTCCAAATCGTAAACTCGGTATTTCTTGGTGTCTTCGGCATAACCAAGGAACATGCACTTAAAGCTTTTGGCTTCAAGCGTCGTCCTCTTCACTTGATCAATGTGAGCATACCCATGAGACCCAAACACCCTAAGGTGATCTACCCGAAACTTCATCTTAAATCCCAGCTCATATGGGTTTTTGTTTGGCTGCACTGTATTGTGAGAGCGGTTGATCAGGAACACCGCAGTGCCTCTGTCCACCAACATGTCGACACACTTGTAGTGTGGCATGTTCCGTGCCTTTCCATAATTGTGCGGTTCATTCGTTCTGCAATTCTGCTTTGTTGGGGTTTGTATGATACTGTTCGCGGATGTATGGTGCCGTTCCGCTGACACAACTCTGAAACTGTCTTGTTGACAAACTCCGTTCCGTTGTCCGAGCGTAGGCACTCATATAATGCTTTAAACATCCTGATTTTGTCGGCAACTTCGCTCATCTTCACCAGAAAGTAAACCACCGCAGTTGGGGACTTTCCAAGACGCTCCATGACAAAGAGGTCACGTGTATTGGAAGCAATTCACATGGACGTGATGGGGCCCATGAAGACACTTTCGAAAGGAGGTGCCAAGAGCATTTGGACTTTTGTGAATGATTATTCACGACACGTCTGCTTGCCCTCCATGCATCCACCGCACAAGGTCTTGATACCTTGTTTTAGCGCAGACATACCTTCTGAGGATCGCAAAGTCTTCATCTAAACATTCCCGCTTGGGTGTCCTACTCGAGCGTGCCACAGCTCCCACTGACTATCCGCTCCCGAGTATTGCACCGATCGTGCCTCTTCTTGCTGACAATCCAGTGTGTAAGCTTTCCAATTTCTTGTACCAGTTGCCAAGCCATACTTCTTGTTTTAAATAGTGCACGAAGCATGCTGAAACTCCACGCTTAGTCCACGTTCGGCAAGCAATTCACCGACAGTAAACGTCTGTCAAGTCCAGGGATAAGCAGCACTTCCATCATCGATATGCGTCTTTCGTCTAAGCCGACAAGCTTCCCTGTTCCAGCTCCTTCGACGGTGTCTGCAATCGTTACCTTGACGACGGCTTAAAGTCGCTTGATGTCGATCAAGTCATTCGGTGAGGAGTCATGTGTGACGTCGCACCACAGTCAATCTGCCAGCTTGCTGATTGCTCCTTCCCCACAGCAAATACTACATCATTACCGCTGAAACGATTGGAACGGTTCTCAACTGGGCAATCCGTTTCATATGACCAGTCTGGTCACAATTAAAGCACTTGATCCAAAAGCCGCCGTCATTGCGCGGCGCGTAATTCTTGCGACCACTTCCTCGTCTGCCCTTGATTCGTCCGTCATCGCCTGTGGCGCGAAACGCTTTCTCACTTGCTGTTATTTTCTGCAGCCTGTCTGACTCATGGAGACGACGTGACATCGTGACACGATTGTGCAGAGTGGAGCGTCTGTATGAATTGCGAAGCGTTCCTCATGCCTTCAAGGAACGAGTAGCAGACCGAATCTTGATCTGGTGTTGAATCTTGACGCCCTGGGCAATTATACCCAATGCCTTGGCGTCATTCACGAGCAACGTCTCCGTTATTTCGCTCTCATCCTTTGCGCCCATAACGTGCCCCAGAAGCTCTTTTCTTGCGAGGGCCATCCTCACGTTGAACCCCCAATGGTAGTAGTTACCATCTCTTAGGAGGACTTTGGTGCGCTTGGTAGTTATGGCGGAGAGGGTGTGGTGGAGCGAAGCTTTGTATGCGGCTGTTAACCTGTTGAGAAGATGGCAAAACCAGAGTGAATGTATTTAGGTCCTTAGTTCGCTGACTCTGTGCTTTCTCTAAGTCTGTATTTCTAGATCCTTCTTGAAGCTTCTTGATGTAATCTTATTTATTACGATCATTGAACGACTACCATTATGTCCGTAATCAACATCCGTAATCATGATAGTAATTGTAAACATGACCGTAATCTTTGTGACGTCAACCACATGCATTCAGCGGTGTAAGCTTAACAAAAACAGATTTTCTTCTGACGGGCGGCTCGCAGCGTAGATGTACCTCAGATCCCTCCTTTTCGGGATTTCGTAACTCTTATACATACGATGTTCCAGTACTCATAAATTTTCACAAAAAATCACACCAGGGGTGGGTTTCTTATAATTCAAACATATTGTATCGATACACTTGTACCAAATATTGATATATATATAATATGTAAAAATTATCTACATAAGATTACAGTCGTGCGCTGCTACATCTCCGACAATGATGAAGGTCAAACTGAGGCTCACATATATTTTGCCCTTCTAAGGCACTACGCAATGGTGATCGATCCACAAACAACCTTTGCGCCTGGAGCTCCATGTCACTCTCTGTACTCATGTGTGTCTGCTCTTCTGAGAAATCTTCCACCAAAAAGTCCGCTCGCATGCGTCCAATTGAATAGCACGACAGTGAAGCAGTTTTTGCAAGCCATGAATTATAATACCTCTATGGTTTTCCCTCACCTGCTTTTTTATTGCCACAGTGAGCCTGAAAGCGACCATATTGAAGGCAATACATCCATGAATCCAGATTTTTGAGGGACGGACACCTTAAAGAGAAGAGCCGTAACACATTTGATACGACCCCTATTGAAGAGTGTGACAGTGACTTTCATGACGCGGACGCTCATCGTACGCAAATGCACCAGCTCCAGTAGACTGGACGTTAGAGCTCGCTTGCACTTGGTCGCTCGACTTTAAGCGATCACTTGAATCGCGCGTAGCGCCCTTCAGCTTGGAACTTTCAAATTACTTTGACGTTCGGCTTCAGTCACCAAACAAAATATGCTCATGCTAACATTCTCGTGTATCGGACAGCGAATGGGTAATGTTAATTGACGTCCGTTCTTTCGTGATTTACCGATTTAGTGGATTCCAATGCTGTAAATATCGCCTCTTTTGGAAAGAATGATCCAATCTAATCATGGTTCACATAGGATATCACGAAAAAGTGGGAACAGTTCTTAGATAAAGGTCGAATTACCATAATAGGGTTGAAACTATATTTTCATTCTTCGAGCCGATCGCAAAAAAATAACGAAAGATGAGAGATCTTTCTGACGGTTTATGTGATTAATGTTCACGTCAATTTTGACAGCCGCAGTTAACTTTTCTTATCGTGGCTCCGCTCGCCAGGGATGAGCGATTCGGCTATCATCAAGCTTTCATCAAGCTTTTTGCCTCGCAGCCCGTTCCGCATCGCGGCGGAAAGCTGGACAAGTGGGTTTTATTTTCCCCTCGTCGAGTCTCTATATTTCGTTGCAAACTGAAGTAATTGTTGTTGACAATATTTATCCAGGACAGCGCAGATGCCATCCAGATATCAAAGCTCACTGCCTTGAGATTTCTTAGGCCCAGGAACACGTCGCTTTAGATTTTTTTACCTCTAGAATGATATGGGGTTGAAAAGTGAGAAAACATACGTAAACTACCGTTAAGAGGACATGTTGAACAATGTAAGCTAACTCTGATGCAGCCACTTTACATGTTGATAAAGGAGGAGCCTGAAATTCTTTTAATTTAAGAATGATTTGTCTTTGACATGGACGCTTTTTTAACGACACACACTTTCTACTTATAAATGTGAAAAATTTTATAACATGTTGATGATAAGTTATAAGCGCAATTTTTTGACGTTTGACGAATTTGTTTCGTATCCGTAATTTTATTTTCTTTTATAGAGATGTCACTGTTCTTCCTCCCCCGTCCAATCACTCATTATTCCGCATTTATTGAGCAGTGCAGCAAGTGCGCGCTCTTCCTTAGGCACTAATGACAACGTCTCCATCTCTTATCTCCACTCTGGGTAAACGTGAACAGCGTGATGCGCTCGAGACAAACGACACGAAAAAGAAACGTACAAAGAACGATCCTCTCAAGAAGGATCTAAGCGACGAAGCGGCAGAAATTTCATCTGGTTCTCAAAACGGGCTGGAGCAGTTGCCTGTGTTAACAGATGTCGTGCAACCCGTTGAATTGATCATAACGAGCGGAGAAGCTACAGGACTGAACGCCGCAGTTTCAGCTACAGTCGAACAAATTGAAGAACAGCTTCAAGCGTCACCACCCAAGCCACGCAAAGGCCGACGCGTCCGCAAGACAAACTTAGAAAAAATGGAGATTTTGGCTTTTGTCGATCAAGGAGGCTCACAAGGAGCAGCTGCCGAAAAGTTTGGCGTATCACGTACGGCAGTGACCAAAATGGTTAAAGAACGCGTAGCCATTTCTGCCCAAGCACTCATGGAAAGTGCAACAAGCAGTCGAAAAGTATTGCAATACCAACACAAGCTGAGTGTGATTGAAGATATGCTTTACAAGTGGCAGATGCAGGTCGAATTGAATGCACCAACATTTAAAGTAACAGGAGAATTGTTGCAGTCTAAAGCAGTGGAATTTCGCAATAAGATCTTAGCCGATTATTGCAGTGAACTGTCGGATGATGTTATCATGTCACTTACAGACTTTAAAGCATCCAATGGATGGCTACATCGGTATATGCAACGACGTAGTATGAGGTCACTGTCGAAACACACACCAGCGGGAGGAATGCTCATTGGATCAGACAGGATGACAAGTGATCAGCGTGTACAAAAGATACGTGATGTACTTATGAATATTACGTCAAATTGCATATGGAGCTTGGATGAATTGACGCTACATCATTGTTCGACAACGTCAAGACTTGACTCAGTTGTTAATTTGGACGTACGTAGTCTAGCTCGGATTTCCGTGGCAATGGCAGTGAGTGCATCGGGGGAAAAATTGCATTTGCAAGTAGTTGGAAAGGATCCGACCCCCGAATCACTAAAGAGTGTGGATACATTAACGACGTACGGAGTTGAATATCGCGATCACTTTCGCGCTACCCATGACGCACAAGCAATTGCAACTTTTATCCACGCAATGAACCATGAAGCAACATCAAGGAACCAGGTGTGGTACGTGGTTGTGGATAGCTGTACAACTCACATTTCCGCGGCTCACATATTAAATCCGTCAGGATCGTTTCGAAATGGTTTTAGCTTCAACTCAATTGTGCTTCTGTTTTTACCTTCAGAATCTACCAAAAGTGTGCACCCACTCCATCAAGGCATAATGGATACATTTAAATTACGCTTTCGTCGTGCGATGCTCCGGACACTCCTTCATGAGTACGATCAATGGGCAGAGGTGACGAATCGGACAAGTGAAGAGGAAGAAGAGCTACAAGGTGATGTTTTTGATGTTCACGCTCATACTCATATGCGTAACACACTGAGCTGGTTGCACGCGGCATGGGAAAGCGTGCCTGCCAAGCTAATTCGTAACGCGTGGACCTCATCCTTATACCTATCTGCACTCGAACCTGGTGAAGTCGAATATGGTACAGCGCTTGGTAACGAGGAAGATATTTCTGCTTATGCTGAGCTTGTATCCCAAATGAGTCAGAAGCCAGCCCTCCAGAAGGCACTTGGAATTGAATTCGTAAAATCTCCTATTCAACTCATGACGGAATTGCTAGAGTTTGATAAGTGTGAAGTCACTGGAGAAAATGAGGTAGTGAAAGACAATGACATAGTGATCGAAAGCCTAGCTGCGCAAGGGCTTCTTCGTGACACACCGAGAGCATCATTGATGGAAAGTATTAAAAGTGATGGTATGTCAGTTGTCACGGCACGAGAGGCGACATTGTCACTTAACCAGCTGCTGCAATTTATTTCACAAGAAAGTGACAATTTGCTGACGCAGCCGGAACGACGAACGGGTCGTGCAAATCTACTTATTTTGCAGCGTCTGCTGCTTAAAGCTTGCGAGAGAGAACTTGAAGGAGAAGCCGCAACGGACTTCACAGTGTAGTGCCTGAGTCAATGAGATTCGTTGACTGTAATTAACCGGTACATGTCTTCGGCCGCCATCAACACTTCACTTCTCCTACCCGCTGCTGTTTGTAAGGATGATGACACAAAATGTTGTGATTGAAATATTGACAAAAAGCGCTCAGCTTTCGGCAGGATCGTCTGCTGTTTGGGAGTCAGTTTTGCAATCTTCATTTTTAGACAATATAGGAGCGGAACTCGTCCTTGTCACGCCCTTGGTGTCTGTGGCACTAGTTGCTATCGGAGGCAGTTTCTTGTTGCACAATGGACTGGATTCCAGACCTCCCGAACGGCCTGCCCAGTCGGCTTCTTTGCGCGCTTGACGCTTGACCTCATCTTGACGTTTCTTTCGGTCAAGCGCAAAGCGTTCACGTTGTCGCTTTAATGCAGCAGAAGACAAGGGTCGTCGCAAAAACAGATTTTTACTACCGCGGTCGACATTTGATGACTTTGAGCTTCCGAGGTCTCCGGTAATCCCCGTCAGCTTCAATTTTAGTGAGCTTCCCGACACTGCTGCACCAGCAGTGATTCGTGGATCGTTCGCAATGTCAGTGCAAAGATTTAGGCTAATCTCATTCGAATCTATCTTATTTTGGTCTCGTACGTCCACAACACAGACCGTCTCGACATTAATGAGTAATGCTTGTGACGAGTCCGACGTTCCAAATGTTGCAGCATTTGAAATCTGTGCGTTCACAGACGCGTTTTGTGGCGCTCGAGAGGTTGTACCGAGAGCCTCGATCTTTCCACTCACATGGACGTACACATGCTTAATCCGCTCATTTCGTTCCAAAGCCTCAGCAAGCACTTTGATTCCATCTCGACCGATGTGATTGTTTCTCAAGTCCACATGCCGCAGACGACAGGATGACATGCCCAATACTGCAGCAATCGCGCGAGCTCCTTCACTAGATATTGCATTGCCTCGTAATTGAAGCTCAAATAGACTGGTAGCATTGCGAACAAGTGCAGCAATGGCATGTACTTCCTCGTCACCAATTCCACTTTCAGGAAGTCTCAGATTACCACCCGACGATAGAATTTCATGATCGCTTGAATTGTTTGACGCCAAAACCGCACGAGACTTGACTTCATGCACATATCGCAAAAGCATTTTTCGTTTGGCGTCTTCTTCGATAGTCAAGCGTTCTTGCATCCAGTGAATTTTACGTGAAAGGTGCGTCATTCGCTCGTTTTTTGCTTCATTTTGCTCTTTGATTTCACTGACTGCATCTTGGCACGTTACGATTGTAGTGAGCAATGCGGCGATTTTTTCCACGAGTAGCTGCTTAGTGTTTAAGCTTTTTTGAGCTCTCTTGAGAAAAGAGTTGATGTTCATATGTTCAAGAAAGTCAATAGACTGCTGTTGCGCCTTCGGTGTAAAGTTGTTGCGTTTTGCTTTGATGAGTAATAAACCACCATGCGAAGGGCGACATTCAACAAAAAATCGTCCGTTTGCTGCTGCCGCAGCATCTTCTGGATGTGTCATTTCTTGATCCCCCCGTTGAGGTCTTTCGTGCGGCTTATCTCCATCTCCTATGGTCATTGGGACACCTGATTGCTCCATAGCAAGTGCCATTTCAGCCATTTTCTTCTGCATAGCTTCAAATTTTATCACCTGTGCATCCAGCTGGTCTTGTTTATAGCGCAGTGCTTCCGTGACAACTCGGTTGCTTTCAGCTGTCGAATGAAGTTTGTGCGCGACTTCTGCTCCCTTCTCCTGCAAGGTTGTTACTTGTGCCTGCAACTTTTTCGTATTTTCCTTGCTCACAATTTTCGCCTCTTCGTCAGCTTGCATCTTGTTTAGCAAAAAAGCAATCCGGGAATTCATTATCTTAAGCTTCTCCTCGAGCTGTTTGCGTTCGTCAGCCTCCTTGAGCTTTGCTTTGACCTCGTCACTGCAGCGTAGTGACAACTGTGCGTTGTGCTTCTTGAGTGCCTGCAATTGTTCAAGCAGGACTTTCTTATCCAGCTCAGACTTGACACGGGCTTTGCCTTCCTGTGTTCCTTCCTTCAGCAGTCGAGCATTTTTCTTCTTCATTGTAAGAAGCTCAATTTCTTTCTGCTTCAAGCCATCGATAGCATTTGTCTTACCCAATTCTGCTAGTTTTAACCGCTCTAACAACTGGAAAACCTTTTCGGCCATTTCTCGCAATTGATCTGCGGAGTCGCGATTCTCTGCTTCCATCCGAGAACGTTCCTGTTCTGCCTTGTCAAATCGCGTCTGTAACTCCTGTTTATCACGAAGCAAGTTTCCATTTTCGGTGAAGAATTGTTTGTTAGCATCAATTTGAGCACGTTTAGCCTTTGCTTCGAGTTGAACTTGAGTCTCGAGCTCCTGATTCCGAACGTGCAGTTTCCTCATCTTATCTTCGAGTGCTGCAAGTTGATCTTCACTCTGTCGTTTAAGTTCCTCCAATTGTTGCATTTTTTCCAGTAGCTGATATTGTTTTTCCTTGCGTAAACGAAGCTGCTCATGTAGGGATTCAAGTTCAACCTCCGTCTTCATTTTCAGCTCAATATTACACGCTCGTAGCTGGTCACTCTCGTTACGAAGTAACCGCAGTTCTTCTGCTCGCAGTTGTCCTTCACGCGTTGCACGAGTTGCAATTTCTTCGTGTGTCTTAGCCGATGACAAAAGAGAAGCATAGCGCGTCTGTAATGTCTCGAGCTCTGACGCCAATGTGCTTGTTTTAGAAGACAATGCCGAGGTCTGCGCTTCCTCGTGCTCTAATAGACGCAAAAGTTCGGTATTATGGTCATTTAGAACTTTGATTTGTGTCGCGCGCTCTTCAATGCCAGTCTGTCAAGCAAACGTTCGATAACAACGAATACTCCGTTCATATGTTTCAAATTGAAGCATACCTGCGCCTTTAAGAGCGTAGTTTCCGCGGCCCGAGCTTTGTTTTCGAGCTCGAAATTTTGGTCACGAAGACTTTGATTCTCTTCATCAAGTCGGAGTTGGTTCAGCTTTAGCTTGCTAATCTCGTCGTCCATTTCGTTCAATGAAGCAAGGAGTTGAGTATTCTGACCACCAAGAATTTTTAGCTGTTCGTCTTTCATTGCGAGTGCTTCGGCTGCCCTCGTCTCCTTGGTGCCTTTTAAAGTCATCGATGATACTAAGGTCGCGGCATCTGGGGCCGAAGGCTACATTAATAATGTACTCGTGATTAGTAAAGGTCTTGCTATATACTCATCGGGTAACCCGCACCTCAAAGCTTGATCGCTGTGGTGACTGACTCATGAACTGCAACACTTCGGTCTTAGACTCATGAACGCTGAACACCTAATCATAGCATGGGTCTAATTCGGTCTTAACGCTTTCATTATAAGTTTGTTGTTCTAATGTTCATCTGTAAAGAGTGCATTAGCCGTTAGACAAATATCATTTTGTAGGCAATACTTACCAGAATGTCATGCAGAGCGAAGCCCTCAACGTGTTCACTACGTTGACTGCACCAAGCTTTTAAGCTGCAATCGTACTAATATATTTATCACACCAACTACTGTCTGTTTCTTTAGATGCAGGATAAAGGCTAAAAGCGAAAGTTAAGAATAATCGCTCGCCCGTCATCTATGGTAGGTTGAATTCTCGATAGGATTCTTTTGAGCACTATTGACAATGAAGGGCACTAATCATCTCATGTGGTTTTAAGAGGAGCTATCAAAGCCGTTGTCATTACTATATCCGCGGGACAGAAATATAGCTTACCAATTTATCTAAGCCAGTATGGAGCTGACTAACCTGCAATTGCGAGCTCGTGTCCTTAACAAAAAGGTTTGCTGCGTACGTCTAGATGAAAAATCATGATTAAGATAGCAACTTATTCTAATTCTCAAACTGCAGATTGCGATTGTCATACAAAATAGACAAGACTCAAATGTTAAAGGTCTCCATAATCACACCAATCAGGCTATAATTCCGAAAGCGAAATTTATGTGGCTTTACCTCGATTTTGATGTAGCACTGTGCAGCTATTCTTGTTGACGTGACGCCTATGCTACGTTTACGCAAGCGCTCCTGTTTTCTTAAGGCCCTATGTGTGGATTTTCCACTTGTGCATCATGTCTCTAGTACTTATGGGACAGAAGTGTATCCTGCGCCGTAATCCAGAAATTTACTGCAATTGTATTTGCTAAAATCATGAAAGCAAATCTTTTGCTGCTGTACCGCTGGGAAAACATGTCTCTGTATAAGGAAAGATTACATCCAATCTTTATAAAAAAGATGCAGCTAAGAAAATACACGGCTTCTTGTGGTACTCTATGCAGCATCTAATAATTTTACCTTCCGAGGCTGATACTGAGTCCAACTTATCTCATCTATGTGTAATCACGGAATCCATTGGCCATAACGCAACGCCACTTACTACCATAGTGGTATATAAACCGTATCGAGAATGTTGATCAGACAAACGTTCATTAGGTGATAGCTCGTCAATCACATATCCGCTTCGTTCCATTTGTATCGCTTCAGTTATCTATCAGAAAGAAACTATATGCGTTACGTTACATTGTTAAACAGACGGGATTGAATGTCGCATCTGTTCCTTTGTCTCTCAATGCACGAATCCAGCGATAATCGATTTCCCGTTCATTCCCACCCCTGCCCATGTTTGCTCCCGAAAGCTCCTTGCTTTTAGCATAATCATTACGATCGTAGAAGTTCAAGGAACGCACTCAGATGCATCTATCCTATATATTACAATTACTATGTTCGCAATCGGATCACCACCAAATGAAAGGTCGGCGCCCCTTCCGATTAGGTATTGTTCAAATAAGTCAGTAGTCCAACTGTATGCGATTTGCAATTTCGATGTTTTTCGCGCTGACATCATCAACCACCTCGTCTGCCACACATCTCAAATCAATCGTATTGCCGTAGTCTATCTAATGTGACATTTGAAATGCCGTGTAATCCTTACTGCATCAAGAATAATCAAGTCAATCTTCGTAATTTTCAAAACAGAAATAAAAGGGTATGTTCGAGATACCCAACTGCTTTGGTTGTAATCCCCAGCTGGCCTGATCAATTAGAGATTGGGGATTAGTACATATCCAGTACAGTACTTGTCCATCTTGCATGGGCTTGATGAGGTGAGGTCGTTTTGGCAAACGGCAAATCGCTGCCGTGTGTAAGACATCCATCAAGAAGCTGTGTTTGCCTACAAGCGTGTGATAGTGACAGTGTCGCGATTCTCAGATAGGGTGCGGGAAGAATACCACATGACATCGACACAATTAATCAGATTGACAGTCTCATTCTACAACTTGCTCAATAATACATAAGAAAACTTCCAAGCATCAGAAAAATTCAGTCTCCATGGAAGGGAGCAAATGTCATTTCATCAAAAAGGACTCTGCATCAACGCAAATGAGAAGCGAGAGCCACGCCTTCCAGTGTCCTGATACCAATTGCGGACGCCGATTTAACCGCAAATACACGCTCATGGAGCATATTAAAACCCACACGGGCGAGCGCCCGTACGTCTGTCGTGCCTATGGCTGTGGAAAGCGTTTTAGTACGTCAGGCAATCTATCTCGACATATGCGTCTTCACGGTGCTATTGAGCCTGTGCATTGTCCCGTACAAGACTGCTCATGCGAGTTTATGAGCGATATCAAGCTGGCCAAGCACATGCGCTCACACTACGTATCAAAAGTACACACATGCAAGGTTTATCTATGTGGTAAATCTTTTAGTACTACGGGTAACCTCAATCGCCACCTCAAGAATCAACACACAAAGCAAGAGCGGGAGCATTGTTCTCCACCATCGTCGCCTTTGCCAATTTCAATGTCCATTTGCAGTACCCCATCGAATTACAAGTCCGTAAATTTTGCGCGCGACAGCCCTACCGGTATTGAACAAGACTGGGTATACAATGCATGGAAACTTGCTTTAAAGTCGATCGAAGTGGACCTTCCAGATCCATTTGAGACTGCGTGCACGACGCCATGGTCGCCTGAGATGCTCCAGATGTTGTCACATATATTGCTAGACTAATAGGGCCAAGGAAAAGAATAATTTATATAAATGATGATGTTGTGCTTGATGATTGTCAATCAGCAAGATTCCTCGTTTTGTGATGCTTGTTTACATCACTAGTCACTATCGTTGATTAAAGATAAAGAGCATAACGCACATTACAATCGATATAGAACGAACGATTACTTCTTCGAATTCTTTAAAATTCCTTGTGCACAGATTTAGAGTGGGATATGGTAAGGGTATTACAAAGGAAACTTTGGCGAATGGAAACGGCCCGACACCCACAAAGGGCGCGTCCGTGACAGTACATTGCACTGGCTACGGCAAGGACCGCGACCTAAATCAAAAGTTCTGGAGTACGAAGGATCCTGGTCAAACACCCTTCACTTTTAAGGTTGGGCTCGGCCAGGTGATCAAAGGATGGGACGAAGGAGTACTAGGCATGAAGCTTGGCGAGCAAGCTCGTCTTACCTGTTCTCCTGATTATGCATACGGAGCCGGTGGTTTTCCAGCTTGGGGATATCCTTTTTACTATTTCGTTTCATAAATTATGGATTGTTATGTATCTTCGTTATTTCCTTAACGAAAAATTGTTGCTAATTGTACGATTCAGCCAAATTCGACGCTTATTTTTGAAATTGAAGTGCTCAAGATCGAGTAGACAACGTGAAGCTCGAAGTCAGTTTGGCTTCATTTGAAAAAAGCCGATCAAAAGTCTGTTTGACTTTTTGAGATTTGAATAAGCAAAATTAAGACGTTCGCAAGAAAATATTTCATTTGGATTTTTCCTTAACTCTTGCCTAGAGATGTTTAATGAGATAGTAATAGAACAAAAAATGCGATACTTGCACACAGCACCGCGGGGTTAACGTTGACAAGCTTCGCTGGTTTTAGTTAGTACCATCGACGGGGACGTGGTGGTGCAACGACTGCACCCCCACGAACCACTGTACGTCCCGCAACAACGACCTCGTCGTTATCATCATCGTCACC